CCTTTTTTCGACCTTCCACCTTTTTATTTTTTTTTTTACAATTCTTGGAGAAACTTTTATTCAATTAGGTATCCTCGAACGATCCAGGAAAGCATCGTACGGATATCGTACGGTGATGTTCGATATCGGCCGATCGGTTATCAATCCTAGCCTCGTCTTTGTTCTTCGAAGTAACCTTCTCTCTCTTTCTTTTTCTCTCTCGTGTCATAAATATATTATATATATATACCGTATAGCATCGCGTTCAATCACGCATCTTTTTTCGACCTTCCACCTTTTTATTTTTTTTTTTACAATTCTTGGAGAAACTTTCATTCAACAAGACATCTTCGCTCGATCCGGGAAAGGGTATCGGCCGGTCAGTTATCGATCCTATTCGCCTCGTCTTTGTTCTTCGAACTAACCTTCTCTCTCTTCTCTCGCTTTTTCAATTCGAAATTCCGCGCTCGCCCGTATAATTAGCCCGTTATTGTTTATTCATCAACGCTTTATCCCGGTTTTTACAAGAGGTTTCCTACAACGAGGGTCTCTCGGCCGAGAGGATCGAGAAGAATAAGGGCTTGATATCCGACGGATACAAGGCCGCTCCATTCCTGGACGGGTTCGGAAATACCCCGCGTGACTAATCATGCGCCCGTGACGCAACAAAAGCTGGCTTTTCAAGCGAGCGTGAACGTGAAAAATTCCATCGAGTACGCGTTTCTCCACGTGGCAACCCATCCTCTCTCTCTCTCTCTCTCTCTTTCCTTCGATATCCCCATCCAATTTAGGGATCGTAGGAACAGGAGCAGGCCAAGCGTCAGTTAGGAAACGTCGAATGTATTCGCGAAACGACGAGGGTCGTTGCCTCTTATCCTCCCCCTCCTCCTTCTCTTTGTCTCTTCTCCTAGCTATTCGCGTTCCGCTATGATAATCGGTGACACGGGGATACGCGCGATTATTCCCCCCCTCCGTGCAAAATTACCATTGTCGCGTGCGCTATTATCGTATACACCGTGAAAGATGGCACCTTTCCACGGCGTTCCTCATGTACGTGTTTTCACCTCTGACACGTTTGTTTGTTGTTTGCGCGCGAGGGCAAGGAGGGGGAGGGAGGGAGAAAGCGAAAAAGCGAAAGATCAAACTTCTTCTCTTGCAAAGCGCGGAAAGAAGGAACGAAAGAACGAAATAAATAAAGAAAGAAAGAAACACGCATCCGGGAAAGAGTCCGTTTGCATTATCGACGGCTGTAAAGCGGCGAGGAGATGAGCCCTCCTTCGTTAACGTTCGCGAACAGGTTTCTCGAGGAGAGAAGAAAAGCGGCGTGTAACCGCGCGTTTAACAACAACAATGAAGCAATTAAGCCACGACCGTGTCCGTGTATTCGTATACGTATACACACAGAAGGGCAACGAGGCTGTCGAGACGCGCTACGTAAAAATTTCTACTCTACCGCTAATCGCATCCCAGATGTCGCGCGTGTCGCAAATTGCAAAGAGGAGAGGGGGGAATCCATCGAACGTTTCGCCACGCCGCATTTATTTTCGACGCGCGTATATCCACGATGACGCGCCGCGTCCATCGAATTCCTTTGCCCGCGCTTCTGAATCGGTCACATCAATCGGGAATCGACCAATTCGCGCCATTAATATTCGCGCCGGGGGTTGAACGAGGCTTCGAGGAACCGACGCCTCGAATGCCAATCTTTCGTAACGCGAGATCCAAACTTACGAGTGTTATTTGTATATTATTTTCTTTCATTCGACATTCATTTTTCGGGAATAAAAGGACGCTTCGAACCAGATATATATACTCTCGTTCGAAAATTGAAATTTACATAATATATACATAATATAATCGGGTCGACAATTCAACGGTCGAAATGCTCTTGGAAGCGTGAAATATCATATATATATACATATATAGGAAGAATACGATATACGATATACAAAAGATAAATTCGGGTTCGTTGACTTTTCCGCGAAAATTTCGAATTATATCTATTTAACACGTTGAATACTCAGCCATTTCACAAATGTTTCGAAAATGAGGAATTTAACGCAAAAAGTTACAAGCCTCTGTAACGCAATGTACAAACGAACCACACCTTTCTTTACCCTGTTTCAATGAATTACATTAATGTTTTTAATGTTATTATTACATTCTTTTGAAAGCATTGACCAAACAAAAACCGATGTCGCCTGAATTAAATTGTCACGGGTGTAAGAATAACGTGAACGAAAAAGTGCGCGACCGGTCCGTCGGGATCGATTTAAATGGCGATTCCGTTCGAAAGTCGATTCCATTGGCGGAAAGTTGTCGACAAAATGGTGATATCGTTTCTCGTCCCCTCCCTCCACCGAAGACGGAGGACGTCCCGCGATTAATCGCGGCCGCGAGTAATCGCGCAACTCGATCGATCGTGCTTTCCCTCGAATTCTATGCTAATTAACCCATTAATTGGCCTTCGCATGCGTTACAAATTGAGCACGCCGATGCGATCGCGATAACCAATTAGACTTCGCCGTGTCGCTTTCCTCGCGGAACGATCGCCAATTTACGACGACGCGACGCTGGAATATCGATTTACGACGAGCCGAATCGGCTATGAGAACGAAGAGAAAAATACCCGAGTCGTAAATTTGTGAAATCTCTCCGCGCGTAGTTTCTTCCCCCTCCTCCTCCTCTT